ACATTTTGCATTTGAACTGTAAGTAATATCTTTCACTTCCTATGACTGATATAAACGTTGCCACCGGGAGGAGGATGTATGTTCCTGTGATTGGAGGGTTCGTTCAGTGCACTCTGTGCCACATGTATGCACCAATGGAGCCGCAGCACCCGGGGGAGCACGCCTGTGACACGTGAGCAGGTCGCCCTCCTGGAAACTCACATTAGAGATCTGGAAGAGCGAATTGCAACACAGAGGAGGCGGGACAACCTGGAGAGGAGTCTGCTGATCACTGAGCAGGCCGGTAATGGGGTGGATGTGGAGGGGTAAGTGAGGATGATCAGGTAGGAAGTTGGGGTACTATGGGGGGGGGAGTGGAGGGGTAAGTGAGGATGATCAGGTAGGAAGTTGGGGCACTGTCGATGGGGGGGGGGCAGGGGCTCCCAGAAAAGGAAGGCCGGCCCTCAATGTCACTGCCGCCCCTAACAGCCGGGAGAGCAGCACATCTAGTCTCCCTGGTGCCAGGGTTCGGCATGTGGTGGACAAATTACTGGCAGGGGCTGGCCATGACCCAGCTGCCTTGGTTCATGTTGGGACCAATGACAGAATACATGGAAGATCCTTTAGAATCATTTAAAAAAAACTAGGTTGTAGCTTGAAGGACCTCCGAGGTAACATTCTCTGGAATACTGCCTGTGCCATGCGCAACGCAGGACAGACAGCGGGAGCTGAGAGAACTAAATGCATGGCTGAGGACCTGGTGTAAGAGGGAAGGATTTGGGTTTCTGGAGCACTCATCATTCTGGAGACCTCATCTGTCTCCATCCTTCCTTGTATTATAAGAGGTCCGGACTCCAGAGAGAGAGACATAATCTGCCCCTATAGGAAGCATTAGTAAGACCTCATCTGTCTCCATCCTTGTATTATAAGATGTATAGACTCCAGAGAGAGAGACATCATCCTGCCCCTATACAAAGCATTAGTAAGACCTCATCTGTCTCCATCCCTCCTTGTATTATAAGAGATATAGACTCGTGAGAGAGAGAGACGTAATCTGCCCCTGTACAAAGCATTAGTAAGACCTCATCTGTCTCCATCCTTCCTTGTGTTATAAGAGGTATAGACTCCAGAGAGAGAGACATCATCCTGCCCCTATACAAAGCATTAGTAAGACCTCATCTGTCTCCATCCCTCCTTGTATTATAAGAGGTATAGACTCCAGAGAGAGAGAGAGAGACGTAATCTGCCCCTGTACAAAGCATTAGTAAGACCTCATCTGTCTCCATCCTTCCTTGTATTATAAGAGGTGTAGACTCCACAGAGAGAGACATAATCCCCCCCTGTACACGGCATTAGTAAGACCTCATCTGTCTCCATCCCTCCTTGTATTATAAGAGGTATAGACTCCAGAGAGAGAGAGACATCATCTGCCCCTATACACGGCATTAGTAAGACCTCATCTGGAATATGCAGTTCAGTTTTGGTCTCCAGTTCACAAAAAGGATGTTATGGAACTGGAGAAAGTGCAGCGAAGGACTAAACTGATAAGAGGCCATGGAGGAGGAGCTCAGCTATGAGGGGTGCGGCACTCTTTGCGTCTGGAGGAAAAGAGGTTTAACCTTTGCCTGCGGAAAGGATTCTTCACAGGTAGAGCAGTGACAATGTGGAACAGACTGGTTCTAGCAAGCTCAGTTACCTCAGACTGTAGAGCCTCTGAAGGAGGTCATATTGTGCGTGGCTGTGTGCCGGCGTTCCATGTCGTGTGCACATGCTCATTTCAAGCCGTGGCACCAAACGGGCAATGTAAGGCTGGGACGTCCTGGCCTCCATGCTGACTGATCTTCATCTGTTTCCTGCTATGAACTTCCTGTATCCTCTGACCGACCTGGCTTGCTTTGACCTTCCAATGGCCGCTATGAATCCCTCGCCCTCGGCTTGTTTCAGACTTCGCTCTGGTCTGCCGTCTTCTACCTTTGCTGCCCACAAAATACCGACCCGACCTGTACCCAGGCTGTTTTGGTACCCCGGCTGCCTGATTGCTGTTGACCCGGCTAGACTAGACCTCACGACGGAAGGCCTGTGTCCCTCACCTGCTTCGTGCTTGGGGGACATCTGGAGTACTGATCCCAGCATTCCTGCGCACCCGTTTTACTCTCGAGGGGTGCTTGGACTGGAGCAGCCCGTCCTCCTCATCTCAGGCTCCCGCTAAGGCACATGACTGAACCCAGCCACATTACTGCCCATCATGTCTTCTCCTCCAGAAGAATGGGAACACGATTGTTGCCAGAAGACCGAAGCCTTCAGTAACGGTCAAGGATGTAACCCTGGAGAACCCAGACCTAGAGTAGTGGGTAGATGGGTCAAGAGGTCAACTTCTCGATCTTCCTCGACCTTTCTGATGCTTTTGACACAGTTGACCACCCGCTCCTCCTCAGAAAACTCTACTCCCTTGGCCTCCAAAACTCTGCTCTCTCGTGGTTCTCCTACCTGTCTCAGCGTCACCTACAACTCCACCTCCTCCTCTTCATGGGAGTCCTCCAAGACTCTGCTCTCTCATGGTTCTCCTATTACCTGTCTCAGCGTCACCTACAACTCCACCTCCTCCTCTTCATGGGAGTCCTCCAAGTCTCTGTTCTTGAGCCCCTTCTATTGTCTATCTACACCTCCTCCTTGGGTCAGCTGATAACCCCACCATGGCTTCCAATACCATCTCTATGCCGATGACACCCAAATCCATCTCTGAAGTCCTCAACTCACCCATCACCAATCTACAACATGGATGACACCCCACTTCCTCAATCTGCCCAAATCCTCCTCTCCCATGTCCCCTCCCCCGAGTTCTCCAACATAACGACCATCCCCCTCACTTCAAGCCAAGGTGACTCCC